CATGGTGATGTCACTAATGAGCATTCAGGTACAAATCCTGCATTACCATTTTACTTTTTATGTTTAGATTTACCATGCTACTTACATTTACTGATTTGTTTTTGCCCCTTTTCATTGTTTTAGGGCATTGAGGACAGGAATTTACTAGCAGGTCATTTGGCCATGTTTCTGGGCGACTTCAATCAAGCACAAGACCTTTACCTTTCCTCGAGCTGCCCAAACGCCGCCCTGGAGGTGAACATCAAATATGACATTTGCTTGGAGTGGAGTCCTAGTTCTAAATGCTTATTTGTTGTTGCCTGTGGATCAGATGAGGAGAGACCTGCTACACTGGGACAGTGCTCTATTGCTGGCCAAGAGATTAGCAGAAGACCAGATTCCTTTTATTTCTAAGGAATACGCTGCTCACCTTGAGTTTATGTGAGTACATTGTACATTTTCCCAAAAACTATATTTAAAAACAATTTATGACCTCATAATTTTCTTTCCAGTGGAGACTATGTGAATGCACTAGCACATTATGAGAAAGGAATGACACATGATAATAAAGTAAGAGTACATACATAATTGTACACTGAAACATAAAACTAAAACAAAAGTAAACTTCTGTACCTCCACTGCAGGAGCATGACGAGGTGTGTCAGGCGGGAGTAGCCCGGATGTCCATTCGGATGGGGGACATCAGGAGAGGCTCTGCTCAGGCTGTGCAGCACCCAAGTCGAGTCCTGAAGAAAGAGTGTGGAGCCATCCTGGAGAGCATGAAGGTTGCAACAGTGACTAGAGGGTGATTGTGCTAATAAAAATATTGTTTGGTAACAATTTATATTTTGTCATATCAGCAATTTGCTGAAGCTGCTCAACTCTATGAAAAAGGACAATATTATGACAAAGCTGCATCTGTTTATATTCGGTGTAAGAACTGGTAAGAAAATATGATTATATAATGAAAATACTATATATTTGTTCACTTTTAAATTTATCTTGTATTTTTTAAGGTCCAAAGTGGGCGAGTTGCTTCCAAATGTGTCTTCTCCAAAAATTCACTTGCAATATGCAAAAGCGAAGGAGGCAGACGGCAAGTCAGTACTACTGTGTTATCAGATATTAGATATTCTATATTAAAGAACTGAGCTTGTCAAAGACAAGTGTCCATTTGATATTTGACTGTGCAAAGGTACAAAGAGGCGGCTCAAGCTTATGAGAGTGCCAAAGACTGGGACAATGTGATCCGTGTGCTGCTCGACCATCTGAACAATCCAGAGGACGCTGTTCGCATCGTCCGGGAGACACAGAGCATTGATGGAGCAAAGATGGTTGCCAGGTAATAAGATGCACCCATAAGGTTTACAGCTCCTTTTCACTGTGGCTGCAACTTCACACATTTTCTAACCCCCAGGTTTTTCCTGCGTTTAAATGACTATGCCTCGGCCATACATTTCCTTGTCCTCTCTCAGTGCAATGACGAAGCCTTTCAGCTGGCACAGCAGCATGGACAGATGGAGGTCTATGCCGACATCATTGGTCTGTCTTGAATTACCTGAAAACACTACATATTTATTTTTTGTAGCAGTGAGTGTTACGCATGTGTTTTTCTGTCTGGTCAGGCTCTGAAGCGACACAGGAGGACTACAAAAGCATTGCTCTTTACTTTGAGGGGGAAAAGAAACACCTGCTGGCCGGAAAGTTCTTTCAGAAGTGTGGGCAATACAACAGAGTAAGACAGTAACCTGAACTTTTCTGTTATATACAGTATGACCATCATGCATATTCACCATTTTAATTTGATGTCTCAGGCTCTGAAGCATTTCCTCAAGTGTTCAAACACTGAAGACAACTTGGCTGTTGAGATGGCCATAGAGACTGTAAGAGACGTTACACAGTTAAAATATTAAAATGACTCTTTTCACCAAGTGTTTTACTGCTGTGTTTCAGGTGGGCCAAGCAAAAGACCCCGTACTGACAACACAGCTGATAGATTACCTAATGGGAGAGAGTGATGGTGTGCCCAGGGTAAGATTATATATGTTCTAATGTTCTTATTTGTTTTCAGCTATTGTAATAAGTCTTTAGACACATAAAATTAAAAAATAAACCTTCATATTTTTTCTTCTTTTCAGGATGCCAAGTACCTATTCCGTCTCTACATGGCGCTGCAGCAATACAGAGAGGCTGCCCGCACTGCTATAATCATTGCTAGAGAGGAGCAGTCAGCAGGTACAGTGTATGGGCCATATGTTAAACCAAGGTTGCATTTTAATTTACAGCTCAAACTCTACAATGTGTTTATTTTTCAGGAAACTACCGAAATGCCCATGATGTGCTTTTTAGTATGTACACTGAGCTGCAAGCCCAGAAAATAAGGATACCGTCTGAAATGTCCACCAACCTAATGATCCTCCACTCCTACCTGCTGGTTAAGGTCACTGCCACTGAGACTTGGCATAGCACGCTCATTAAATAGGAAGTTAACCTGAGTTTGTGTTGTTATTTAGGTACATGTAAAAAGGGGAGACCATCTCAAAGCGGCTCGGATGCTAATTCGTGTCAGTAATAATATCAGCAAGTTTCCAGCACGTAAGTCAAACTATCACCTTTATCATTTCAGTTATATTATTATTGATACTTTGCACTGATATCACTAGGGGTTTTCTACATGTATCTCTAACATTTAGGAGTTTCCATGGTGACACAACACACACATTAGCAAAAATTGTCTGAAGACTCTGAAAAAAAAAAAAAAAACACAAAAGATTTAAGCAGCACATTCAGGAGCCTGTGATCAATACAAGTGTTAATGGTCCTGTTTAGGTGTTTGATTTTCCACAAAAAAGGTGACAGTGACTAATTGAGAAATTGTTAGATGACGCTCGCTAGCTTGTGACTGCAATTTTATGTGTGAGACTTGTTTAACAGCAAAAATCAGCTTGCTTGTCATAGCTCCAGCTAAATTGTTCAAATAAAGCACAGATTTGAGTTGAATAAAGCCTCAGACAGAGCAGTGCCTACAGTTGTCATCACTATTCTCTGGGGTGCGATGGTGTCAGCTGAGATTTCTACGTTCTGTGCAGATGTTGTTCCCATCCTGACATCTGCAGTCATCAAGTGTCACCGTGCGGGGTTGAAGAATTCAGCTTTTAGTTTTGCTGCAATGTTAATGAGACCAGAGTACCGTAACGATATAGACCCCAAGTACAGGAAGAAGATCGAGGCCATGGTTCGGTGAGTTTATCTTCACTCGCTTTGACTCGGGCTACCGTTTTATTTTTTCTAACGCTTGAATTATCTTTACTATAGGCGTCCGGATACATCGGAGCTGGAGGAAGAAACTACGCCTTGCCCTTTCTGCGGATTTCAATTACCGCAGAATGATCTCCTTTGTATTTCCTGCAAAAACAACCTGCCGTACTGCATAGTAACAGTAAGATCACTCCCTGGATAAAGGTACATTGTGTAGCTTTTCTGGTGGAGGGTCCGCCAAATGCTTTTCTCCATGGAGATGTTATTGCTTTGTTTGGAATGTTTCACAGTATGGCATTAAACCTTTCTATCTTCATGGAGCCCAAACCAGACCAGGGTAGCTTAAAAAGTCTTAAATTATGTTGTCCAACACTTATTTTTTTCACAAAGGTCTTAAATTTCATTAGCCTAACCGGGCTGGATTGCAATGTTAAATGGAGGGGAAAAAAACGTGAACTCACATAACATTAATGAATGTCTAATTTGGAGTATGCACGAACAATACTTTGGTTTCTGGTGCTGGTGGCAATGAGTAAACAATCAGTAGAGTGGAGGAAGACATTGGATGGATCATGGGAAAGTGTAGGTTTAATCCACAGTGGCTTTTAGATTCTAGATGTAGTACCGGTAGTTGGTTGGTCATTTTTAGAATTGGATCTGGTGTTTTTTGCCCCCATAACAGGTGCAATGTTGGTCTTTCTTTTCATTTAAGTGGTCTTAAAAAGGTCTTTAAAAAGTCTTAAATTTGGGGTAGTCAAACATGGGGAACAAGTTACAGGTCAGATCTGTAGAAAGGCAGCTCCGCTCAGTCAGAATGCCTTTTTGCCAATGCCATTTTTTTTTAGGTATTTTTGAGCTATAAAACCATCTGTAATTTAATCAATGTAAAGTAGGGCTGTTCAATGTCACACTGTGAAACATTCCAGGCAAAGGAATGACATATCCATTGAAACAAACAGGTAACGGACCCCCAACCAGAGTTACATAGTGCACCTTTAAAGTGGACTTTTATAATATTAGTAAACATATATATATATTTTTTATTTTTTTTACCATTTGTTGAACTTCCAATATCTTTTGTTTCTCAGGGTCGTCATATGCTGAAAGAGGACTGGTCTGTTTGCCCCCACTGCGAGTTCCCTGCGCTCTATTCCCAGTTCATCCTGTGAGTAATTAAGCCTGAATTTCAACTCAAATGTCCTTTACAGTCCTGTTATGCAAAAACTGATGCATTGTGGGGCCCTTATTGACTAAAAGAACCCACACATAATAATAAGTCTTAATAGTTTAATATTTTTTCTTATGTCCAACTCATCACCTTTAATATTAGTTCAAACTGAAGGAAGTACAATAAAATCTTCTTTTTCTCTTCTTCTTTCTTATTACGGTATATATTAGTTTTTATTATAGATCCATGTTCACGCCTAAAACAGATGTTACCATAAAAGTAAATTCTCTTTTCCTGTCAGTGACCAAATGAAATACTTGATGCTGAAGTGTGATTTCTCCACCAGGTTGTTGGAGACAGAGACTGTGTGCCCCATGTGCTCTGAGCCTTTGGATGTGAAACAAATTAAAAAGATCACAGACTGTTCTGGATACCTGAAGACTGAAGAACCGGATCAATGAGGAGCAAACCAGTCTTTGAAAGTGTGAATACAATTATGACATGTTTTTTGTTTTACATTATTTTAGTGACATCATTTGTGGTTTTATTTTTGCAAAGTAAAGAATGATTTTGATAATAAAAAACAAATACGGTGTTGAGTTTCATTAGTTTATATTCAAATTTCTCAACTGTTGTTAAGAAAAAACACAAACGTGATGACACATTCTGCATTGATACAAAGCTTTCCATTTACAAATTGTGATCAGTGCTAAAGAACAAATCTACAGCTGCAGCTACTTTAAGTAAAAGTTAACAATTCTTTAAGGCATCGTCACATTATTTACAGCCTCTTTGACACTCTACTTACTCCTAAAATGCCACCACAAATGTGTACAGACATGATAAGTGGTGAAGGGTCATTATTTGTTCCATTCAAACAGTGAAGAAGTATAAAAGCGCACTCGCATTGCAGAACATATAGTACAGTTAAGTACAGATGGGCAGGTGTCAGTATGGAGTCAGGTTTCGATATTGTTGGAAGTGCAAAAGGAAGCAATCGTAGATTCAAGTGTCTTTTTCAAAAGTTATTTTTTAATCTTGCCCTTCCCTCTTCCTTTGCCTTTACCAGAGACTTCAGTCTTTTCTTTTTTAGGTTCCTTTGTGACTTTTGCCTTCTTTTGCTGTGGACCAACAAAAACACAAACCATAAAGAAGCTGTGATTATCTGATAAACCCCATAAATGTTACTTACTTTGATCATGGCATCTGTTTGGAGGTTGTCTCCCTCATCTTCTGACTCTCGAACTTCAGTCTCCATGTCCTCTCCCAGCTCCAGGTCACCTCCTCCACCTCCTCCGCGTCGACCCTTCTTAACCACTTGTAAAGAGTATGGAGTGAGGTGGACCTCTTTGTTGTATGCACGTGTAAATGCTGCCTTCACCTGTGAATAAACATAAAACAAACTAGTTACACCAATACTGAGCGTTAAACTTGCTACGTTACATTCAGATGCTGCTTAAAATATTACATGTGCAGAAATGATTTTTTTTCTCTTAAAGCCCCTAGTGGACATAAAGTGCATTACTATAAACTTAAACCCAACCTTAGAGTCCAGTTTGGAGTAAGGATCAGGCTGACCGCCCCAGACACTGATCTCCATCATGCTGTCCACGTCTTCCCTGACGAGCTGGTAGTCGTCCAGGAGCTGCACAGCCTGTGCTGCTCCCTCTGAACCGTGCCTCTGAAGGGGGCTCAAAAGTGCCTTCCGTAAGTAGTGAAGATAGTCCAGGTTCACGGCCTGTCTGCTGCAGTACGTCCTGAAACAATGGAAAGAAAAAAGTGTTTTACTTAAAGTTGTTTGACAATGTTATTCATCATGTGTGACTGGGTGGTAAATACTACACTCACTTTAAACTCATGTGAGAAGAGAGCTCCTGCACAATGCGGGAATGTTTATTGGTGGATGAATTTTTGCCAAGCCAACTGGGAAAAGTGGGGAACTGACCCATGTAACCCCGCATCAGTTCTCCCGGTAACACACTGGCATAAATGGCCTTGAAGCACAAAAAGAAAAAAATTCACTTGGGGACAAAGACTAAGGACTTGTTTGTAAAAACTGTGTTTTACCTGCGTGGGCAACAGTGACCAATTCTGACGAGAACGTATCATCCTGTCAACAAGGTCTCCATCACAGATGGAGTCTGCTGTTTTACTGATCAACACCAAGTGTGATTTGAGATCACCACTAAAAAGAAAGAGCAAGTTAATTCTAGAAGCATTTTCTCTTTGTCTCGCTCTTTGTGTGCATTGTGTGCTCAGGTCACTCACGCTGCTGCTGCAGGGCGCACATGGAGGTAGTTCTCCTGAACAAAGAGTGGTGCTAGTGAGTAGTCATGGAAGAAGAGGTCAGACTTGTCGATTAAACTCATATGAGCCGTCTCCTCTCCAGAGGAAAACACTTTTCTGCACACATCAAATGGACCCAGCTTCATGTCTTTTCGGGCGTTGGCTGCATCAGATTTGCACTGGTCATAAGTCATCACTTTGTTCTTGGCAGACCACATGCTCAGGTTATGGAGCACCTGGGGAAATACACATGGAAACAGTGCAATAACATTTAAACCAAACCTGAGAGAAAAATATAAAACACTGTTTACCTGTCGGACATCCTGGTTGGATGCAAGAATAATTTCATTGAGAGCTGGGGGAGGGATTTTGATCCCCTCTTTGAAAGCTATGGACATCATGGCCCCCTGTTAAAGTGGGAGAATAGGATTGGTCAACATGTCATAATATTGTTAAAAGCCCAAACATGTAGTTGTTGACAGCTGAACCAATTCTAAAATGTTGTGAACAAAACCTACGAAAATTGAAAAGTACATGTTTACCTTTATTTGTTCCACTCGAGGTCTTTGGAAACGCAGGTCAAAACAGTAGTTCGCGAGGGACCGAATCTTCTGATGGTTGCGATCATTACACATACAAATTATAGGGACCTTTGATGTTTTAATTAGGCCAATCATTTCCTACAGAATGGACAAAACATGTAATTAAGAGTCAAGCTTAGAAAAAGCAATATTGTCCACAAAAAGGATTTAAACCTGTATGCCCCCTCGGTCTTCATTTCCTGCCATGCCATCGATCTCATCCATAATCAGGACATGTTTACTGCTGACTTTTTGTGATGTGCCTAAAAAAAAAACCCACCAGTATTATTAACAGTCCATTAACTCTATGTTTATTTTAAACACACAACAGCAGAATTACCTTTATAGAAGTTTTCGATGCTTGTGTTATTGAGTGACTCTGCAACAACTTCCTTCAGACTGTTTTTGCTACGCGTACAGCTGGCATTCATCTCCACATAGCTGTAGCCCAGTTCCTACAATCATTAAGTTAAAAAATATAGCAATTAAAATTCCATTCCTAAAGTCACTGTGAATACAACACTCAAATACCAGACTGACCTCACAAACCAGTACTGCTGTGGTCGTCTTCCCCACTCCCGGAGGTCCAGAGAGGAGAGCTGCTTTAAATGAAGAGCCATCGTCTTTTCCTCCTCCAAATTTACCAAACTTTGCAACTTGAAACCAGATCAAAACATGTTCAGAACCATTTTGAAAGAGCCTTGATGTTTAACCAATGACCTAATGCGTGTTGTTGTCGATAATCAGGTGTGCTGAGAGTCTGATACCTGCTGGTTTGGATGAGCCCCCGCTGTGGTTTTTGTGCCAGTTTTGTAGCCAGCGCATAAGTTTATTTGCACAGCTCTGGTCACCCTGTTGACCGATGACTGTTTTGAGAGATCGTGGGCGATACTTGTCCACCCAGAGCAAACTGGCTCCTTCCCCTGATACTGATGTAGACGAAGGATGTTTAGAAGATGATGATGATGATGACAGACCCAGATCTCTCCGGGCAGTCTGCCCAGAACCTCTCCCAGAGGGTGTGCCCGACTGGCCCACCCGGGCACTATGGGCCTTGGACAAACTGGTTTTAGAAGGACTGGGAGTCTGAGGAGATCTGGAGTTGCCTTTAGAGGGAGAGATCTTCTGGGATTTGGGGGTGCTCTTTGCTTGAGAGGATGGAGTTCTAGTCTTAGAAGCTTTAGCCTTAAACAAATGAGTAAAAAAAATGTATATAATTTATAGAATATTAAAAAAAAAACAGTCTTCTTACTACAGTAAGAGTTCAGTTAATAACTACAGTAAGAAAGGTTAGAACTAACCTCAGCCTCTGCAGCAATTTCATACTTTGACTTCTTCCCAGGCTTTGTTCTGATGAGCTCAAACAGACCATCTTCATCTAAGATCTTGGTACCAAAGCTTTCAGCCTAAATATAAAAAATATCAATTAATTAAGTCAAGTTAAGAAAATGCTTGCCACAAATTATTGCCACATATTTGGGAAATGTAATCTAGTCAA